GTGTTCCCCAGTTCAGCTGGACGCAGCCCGGGGCCGGGAGGTGCAGCCCGGGGCCGGGAGGTGCAGCCCGGGGCCGGGAGGTGCAGCCCGGGGCCGGGAGGTGCTCCCCTCGCTTCTCGCTCCAGCCCCGAGCTGCCCGCTGCCGAGGGGATGATCCGGGCCGTGCAAGAGCCCTGATGGCAGAAAGGCCGCTGAGCATCCGTGTGGCCGTGACAGCATTAGAAGGACAGGGCTTATTTGCACAAAAATCTCAGCCTTGTTAATAACAACTGCTCGGCTACTTGCCAGTTCGGGGCTGCCCACGCCACACACCGGCACTGCGCGCGGGGCTGGCGTTGCTCTGCTGAAGCGGCAGCACCGACTCCTTCCCCAGTCCTGCAGCACCTTTCTCGGCACGGGGCTTTCGCTGCCCGCTCTTCTGAGGGGCAGCGCTGATTTATTCAAATACCATTTGTTTAACTTTGCAGCACGCTAGACTTGCAGCTTCTTCCCAGCAGGGCTAAGCAGCCACTCAGATTTTAAGGATTTCAGAACAGCTGTTAAAGACAGGAGCCGGTTTGCATTTCTCCGCCTTTATCTACCATTTCAAATACAGGTAGGAGTCCTGCAAGTCGAGCGTCCCCGTCCAATATTTACTACCAGATGTACCAAGTCTACAGTTTCAAGCAAGAAACACTTGCTTTCACTGCCATCTCATTTTCTTTGTCAGGTAGCTCCCTTAACAGGTGATGAAATTTGTGTAGAACAGATGATTTATCACCTATTCATTACCTTCTTGCCTCAACCTATAAAACTAGGTTTGCCCACCTGGTAGCATCATCATGCTTCAAGGGACTGTATTTTAATAGGATATTATCAAGGTTTAACAATTCTTTATTGATTATGTGCCAGGAGCAAAAGTTTCTTCTGTCACCTCTTGTGGATTTTAGATTAGCAAAGGATTTTCAACTCAACACAGCTATATATAGAGATTCCCAGGTATCAAACAGAATTCATAAGCTTTACATAGAAACATCCCCCAAAACTCTGACAAGACCTTAAATAATCATGTGTAAGGAGCAAGAAGAAGGAAATGAAATTAAAAAGTAGAACTATTTCTTTTGTGAAAATTTCATTTACATGACACACATACTATTATTTCTCCTCTCCCATTATCCTGTAGATTTTGTTAGTTGTATAAAAAACAGTAATTACTTGGTAACTCCACAGCTGAGGTTGCATTGTGGTTTGCACTTGCAGCAGGACTAAAATCTCCGTGTTTAGTTCTTGAATGCTTGCATTTAGACTACACATTTGGCACAATAACACTTGAAAATTACAACTGAATTTTCTTTTAAAAAATAATATTTATTTGCCTTCTGCAGACAAAAATCTTAATTGCACTCTCTTTCAAAATGTTCACATTTTCTTCACATTTGTGAATTCTGAGGGTTCCCATGTATTGTGCAAGCCATTCTTACTGTAGGATAGGAACACCAGTAAGGCCAATTTTGAACTTATAAAATTAAGCATATAATCTCATTATTTGACACAGCCCAATTACATTTGACAGAGATTTGTCAGAGAGAGACAATTCTGATTTTACTTTTAAAAGTGTGTCTTGGATAAGTATTCTGATTAAACAAAGTTTCCTTTTAATTCTGGTGTCCGTTTTTCATATGGGGTTGATTTTCTTTATGTGTTCTAACTGCTTTTGGCTATAGCCACCATACTGCTTCATTGCACTTAGTACTGGTGTTCCAACGTAGTTACATAGTATTAGATTAGTTTCACATAGTATTAGTTTGTTTCACTGTTTCTACTGGAGGCAGTGCCTGAACATCACTCTTCTGATTAGAAATGGTCTCATTTGTTTCTCTCACAATAATGTTGTGTTGTCTTCTGGTCACCTTTTGATGTATTTATATACAACTCTCAAGTCTTTATTTAATTGACCCAGGTACTATTTTAATCTCTTTTCATAAAACAAGTTCTGTGTTTACCTGATGATGTCTATGGTGAATTACAGTTTGAATTAGCCTGTCTTACACAGTGATGACCAACACACAAAATTTTATACTGGTAAACTCTTACTGGTAATGTGCTTAATAGCATTTTCTCTCATCTCCATTTAAACAAAAATAAAGATGAGATTGGCCTTACTTTCTTTACTTTATTAGATTGACAGTTTATAGTCTGCCTTGTGCTCAGTACTAACAATTTTTTCTCATGCTGTACCACTTTTGACTCTCAAACTACTAGATTATAACAAAAGTTTCTCTTAGGTTCTAGCGCATAATCTTAAATTATATTATTCTATGATGTAATATTTCTTGGCTCTAATATCCTGTGTGCTGTTGACAAGCTGCGAATCAATAGTTAATTTTCTAATATTACGGACTAGATGATCTTTCGAGGTCCCTTCCAACCCCTGGGATTCTGTGATTTGTGAAATTATTGAAAGATACTGAAATAATAAGACTGATTCTTAAAGAATCTAGCAAATTCCATGTTATGCATTGATCTTCTTTTGCAGCTCCTTATTTGCTTCACCATTTTTAAACTAGTTTTCATCTCTTCTGTTTAAATAGCTGCCCACACACAGACACCTGCTTTCAGGTGGCTAGCATTAAACTCTGGAATAAGCACAGGTGTTAAAGGATGGTGGGTGAGGTGTCATATGTTTGTGACAGAAGGATAAAAGTACAGTACAATTAAAAGGATCAAGGAGAAAACCATGTATGGCTAGCCTGGTGAAAGTCCAGACTATCTGCTGTGCTAGATTTCCTACTTACAAATGTCCTAGGACTATGTCTCGAAGAATCACCATGGCTAGAGAGGGGAGAAAGGACCAATTTTCAATGATTTTCACTTGTTTCTTCTGAGTATCTTTGAAAATTCTTCAGATTCCTTATCACAGAAGTCAATTGTATGAGCAATTCCATTCATGAATCATCTCAGTGACTTCTGTAGAGCTATGTGCCTACAAAAGCATGCACAATTTTAATGCCTGGATTTCTTCTATTGTTTTTATTTATTGAAGTACAACTTTATGTTTTTACTAAAGGATTAACATCCTTGCTGATGCCTTATTGGTTTTAAAAGATGGAGAGACTTTTATTACATACAGGTACATAGTTCCAATACTGCAACATCTGAATTTATATGGACACAGATTCACTGGAAACATTTCAAGTAATAGGTGTGCTTATATTGTGGATCACTTCAAGTTTCAGTGCTGTCACAGCTAGACATTTAGTCTTCCTGCATCTCTATCAGACTTCAGACAAGATCTGGATCACACAAAAGTCAAAGAAATTCTGCTAGCTCCTCTGTCAGGGATAGGATTTCATTGACTGCATTTTCTCTGAGGGGTCACTGTATTTTATATGAAATTAATAATTACACTAGCTTATATAAAATATAAACATATAAGTTTTCTAGAACATATATTATATCGAAGGAAGTATATTTTGTGATAGGATCATTCGTCATTTAGTAAAACAAAAAGCAAACTGTATTAGTACATCTAGGTGAAGTATCTCCAGCCTCAAGGCCACATGACATTTGCTTGATTTAAGGCTTAATACTCAAAGTTTAGTCACAATTATTTATCCATTAAGGTTCATGAAACTAGCCTGATTTACAACTAATTCTATCCACCACATAGAAGCTGTGGTTTTGGTTGAATTACGATTGTGTTTTTGTTTCAGTTTGAAGCACAGTCTCAAACTCAAGGCAGAAAGGGTGTGTTTTGCCTCAATTTTTAATTAATTTTAAACTGAATTAATCATCTGATGAATAGTGGCACCAATCTAACTTTCTGTACTCATCACTAGAATTCATGAAGAGTGAATTGAACTCAACATTTCCACATTCTCCAAAGGCCTTTTTTTCAGAGTGTTATAAAAATGTGAGATTATCTAGACAAATGTGGATTGCAATCCGCTTAAAATTTACAGAAACTTTATGATCTGAAACCTCAGGGCTTGGCATAGGCGGTTTCTGGTATTCAGTACAGTACAGTACCAACCTTTTAAATACTCTAGAGAAGTGTT